TCCTGTCGACTGTGGACGGTGGAACTCGTGTGGCCGAGGTCCTTCTTTCGCCACGCATCCCTGCAGTACAGGACGTTGGCTTGTCACGTACGCAGAGATCGCAGCGTCTTCATGCAGCAAGCGAGCTTGGGTCTGCGGCGTCGAGGATCGATGATCGCCAAGCTCGATTGGTGGTATCAGTTCGACCGTGTCGCGCTCGTGGCGTCGTTTCAAGGCATCCGGATAAATAGCCGGACACCAATAGCAATTCATTTCAAAATGGGCGCCGCGACGAGCCGAGAAACGACGGCGCAGCATTGGGCGCTGGGCGCGCGGCGTCGCGTTCGGAGCGCACTCATCATCTCTCATTGCAGAGGCAAGCGGCACTCATCTCGAACGCCTCACGCGTGACGCCCTGCTGCTTGCGCACGGCAGCCAGCACAGAGACCGCTGGCCGCGCCGCGACGACATTACGAACTTCTCGCCCATTGCTAATCTCATATCGCTCAAAGTGACCTCCGATCCTCTCTCTGCTAGAGGTAGCGAGCAATCGAGACAGCTCGCTCGTAATGTTTGTGTAGGCTGCGCCTTCTTAATGGCGATGTGCCTTTTGCAAGTACTCCGTCACATCTCTGCAGACCGCGGTCGTTAGGACATGGTCACACTTCCGGCAGCATTTGCCAGCCTCAACGCCGCGACGTTAACGACATTTTCGAGCCGATTACATACACTACACGCCCAAGCACGAGACAGTGCGCGCAGCCGATCGAAATGCTCCAAGTCCTCGATATGATCAAGTCCAAGGTCAGCAACGGGCCCAGGCCGCGCCGGCGACGCTCCTGCCTACTCTCGGGTCACAAGCAGCCTCCCGATCCTCGTCGTGAACGTCCTACAGGCTGCAACGCTCCTCCAGTAGCTCGACACACCTGTGCCGGCCACCCCCGCGCCCGCGGGTGGCCAGTGCAGCTCCAGCCGACGCAAAGCTGCCGATGCTTTCATCGACCCAGCTCGTAGATGGATGTTTTCGTCCGCCGCGCTCTCCAAGATGATCGACAAGCGGCTTCTCAAGCGCGATGCAGAGCTAAAGCTGCAGGCGCGCCCTACTGACACGCTCATTGTCACTATGATCGTCTTGCTGCGGTGCTTTCCACGCTTCTGCCGCTCTGCGATGATGCCAGATCGTCTCTGTCGGCGTTTGTCCGCGACGGGTTTCGATTGCGTATAGCCTTCGATCGCTGTCATGGCGCTGCTTCCGCAA